CCCATGATATCTCCCTGGCCTGTAAGAGGAATTAATCACTTTGGTCTTAGTTGGTTCGAGCCCAACACTTACCATTGACTCCGCTGAACACACGGAAAGGTATGCTAATGCGGTTCACCCGCTGCGGCTCGTTACGATTACTCGGCCGTTGTGTGCCGATGACCAGATTGTAGGATATCTTGATCGCTTTTCCCTTGTGGCTAGCTGGCAAGCCACTTGGAAGAGTGAAAGAGAACGAATACGACTGCTCCTCCCCAGGTGCCAGTCGCAAGTCTACGAAGAGAAGCGACTGCGTTGTGGAAAGTAGTGGTATCGATCGAGACGATGAGACGCCCCGCATGTCTCGTAAGCCATCCAGTTCGTTGTTGGAGAGGAGACCACTCAATGACTCCTCAATTGCATTCCATTTGAACGCACCCCAGAAGCCGCCGCTTTTGCGACTCTTCTCTTCGCTCGCACCTGGTTTCCCACTTGGCGGACCGACTGCGCCCCCTGCTCCTCCGACAACACCTTTCCGCTTGACTTCCTCAAAGATAGATTGGTGAATCAGAGAGCCATCCACAGTAAATGAAGCGCTGATCTGTGCGTAACCCATAAGCAGTGTCTGAGTGTGAGGCGAAAGCCCCGGGGATTCCACACTTGACACATGTCGTGAGTGGCGGGATACAATAGGCGGGCGCGGCACTGTCATGGAATAGTTTGTATACTCGGACTGGAGAGTCTCTGAGGAATTGTCGCTGATCGAGTTGTAATCCCCACTACTTCTGTGACTTCCAGCCAGGCTGGAAGTTGACATGATTCTCGTTAGCTGCGGCAAATGTCCTGGTGCCGCTAAAGCCGTCATTTCCTTCCCATTGGGTCTGGGTGCTGTAGGATTCTCTTCAATTGGCGATGTTAATGTTGAAACGCCTATGTGGCTGTTGGTGTCAGTAGCTGGGGACGGCGGAAATTTGAATTCTATCGGTGATAGTGGAGGCCGACGCGCAGGGGTACGAGGTGGCTCGATTGATCGATTGGGACTGTAGATATTTGAGCCAGGGCGGCTGGTGTCATTCGGACCGTCGATGTCAATCCTGGGGTTCCCGGGAGATGAATGAATTGAGGACTCCGTAGGTGGAAAGCTGCGAACGGGACTGCGACCACCTAGAAATGCAAGCTTTTAGCATTCAACCCATGCCCTTGATCTCTGCTTCGTTATCAAGTACCTATTGCGGACTGATCCTCATATGCTTCATATCTCCTTGGCAAGACCTGTAGACTTGCCGCGCGCCCATGACGCCTTAGTGGTCGGGGGTGGCTGAATTGTGATGATGTCCGGGGTGTCGGCTCCCCGGTTCCTTCACTATCGATGGAGAGTATAGAGACCGATCGTTTATGCTTGCCACTGGCGGCTGAGCCATTGCGAGGAGTAGACGGAGGAGGGAAGCTGTGCGAACCGATCAACGGCGAGCTCACCGAGGAAGAAAGGCGGTGCGACGGGCTTTTCTTAGCTGCTGTGGAGTACGAGCGACGATGCGGACTGAAGAAGAATTTCTGAGGGGATTTCAGCGAGAATAATGACTCGGAGTGGGTGCTTGTAGCTCGCGAAGGTTGTCTGTGGTGTGAGGTCGGACCCCCGGGATGGGGTTCCACGTTCGTCTCCGCAACGTTCTTGAAGGTAATAGTGCATTCCACATCTTCCCCCGCAAATATTGTCTGGTCTTTCCACTTCACAAAGACTTGGATGTCTGATGGCATGGCGGCGATTGGAAGGCTCCCATGTGGTTTTGGGTGAGCGCGCGCATGTAAGACCAGAAGGAGGAAGCTCGGGGGTAGTTCAGTTGGTTGGTGGGTACCAGCCGCCACCTTGAAGGAAAGACAACCCTAAACCAACGCGCCAGGAGGTATATATAACAGTCAAAAGATGATCTGATGTTTGCCAGCTAGGGCATGGCGTCAAATGGCGAAGGACATAATGGTGGAAGGAGGATTAGGAGAGCCGAAAGGAAGCGGGTGAACGTAGCCTAGCGATTCAGTCCGCTCCATAACGTTCCTGGCGGCGGCGGCGGCGGCAGCGGAGGAGAGGATGGGTTTACTAGTCTAGCCGAGACCCTTAATGAGTGCATACTTCAAATGCAATTTACAACCAGATAGGCAAAACTCGACTGTGCGCGTAAGACGTCTACTGTCATGTGGGGTTCCTGATCCAATACTGTTCCCTGCTTGTTTAAAGCTTTGATCACTACGGGCAGATGCGCTAGGACAGACGATATTGCCTTCGATTTAGAGATAGGAAGAAGTGAATTAACGCCAACCCATACAACGCCACCGTCCCTGCTCGTCAATAAACATCATGCAATGGTATTATACAGTGTTTGTGCTCCTGCAAGCCATAGCGACGTCGTCTATACCTTGTCTTCATCGCTCTTAGCCTCATAAAAGAGAACCTGCGAGTCTTGAATTTTTTCCGTATCCTTGGTAGGTGGTCGTAAGCCGAGCTCAGTCATGTGAGCCCAGATGCGATCGTGTCGTCTCTCCCATCGCTTCCGGCGATCCTCCATTTCTTTGTCTGATGCCCGCCATTTGCTCTTCAGGATACGTCTAATCGCCTCTGGCGAGACCTTGAACTGCTCGGCGAGAACAGGTGTGGTGAACTTATCTGGTGCCACCTGATGCAAGTGTCGGATTCCCTCTATCGCATCGGGAGAGAGCTTCTTAGGAGGATTCCATCCTTCCTTGAACTTCTCTTTCAGAGCAGCCTTCTGAGTTTGCCAGTGCTCTTTCTTCTTCGGCGGGCCAGTATTTTTGATGGCATCCCTCCAAGTCTTTGGCTTCCCTTCCGAGGGCTTTGTCTTCTCCCAAGGCTTGGTCTTCTCCGAGGGCTTCATTTTCGATCGATCGCCGCGTGAATCGGTTTTGCTGCGAGAGCCTTCAGCTCTCCCTCTACCAGCACCTTTGGCATCCGTTCGTTTTGTAAAAGGAACCCGGTCAGTCTCAGATGAGGATTCTGGGGTTTGTACGACGGTATCTGTCGAGTTGTCGCCACGTTCGTTCTTTGCCGGTGTGGCTGTTTCTATCTTGTTCGTCGCATCCGGAGAATATTCGAGGGTATCGCTGGACGACAACAATGAATGAGACTTATGTATCTGGATTTGATGAGTGGAGCTGAAACTGCGTTGAGCGCCAGGCTTGCGATAGGCAAGAGGCGTTATCGGGAACAAGCTTCGACGTTGATAAACTCGACAGGTAGAGCGAGCAAGATCTGGTTGAAAAGCTTCATGCAGCAGACATGACAGGTGCATTCGTGCTGAAGCAGCCCCTGAATGCCACATGATGATGCGCTGGCTTGGGGAAGATGTCGGAGGCAAACGCTACCAGAAAAAAGAAGTATCGCGCTGATAAAATCCCGCGGGAGACTTCTAGAAACGGGGCTAGAACAATTTACCGCTTCCCCCAGTAGTCATGTGACTGGCCGACATACAACCACTCAGTCAACTGTTGACCTTCCACCATCCAATCCACTATCATCTACGATGTCGGCAGACGGAATAGCAAGGGGATTTTCGACATTGTCATTGCTCCTGTCCTATCTGAAATTTGCTCACCGCTAATTCATAATGGCTTACTCACCAGTGAAGAGTAAGAATTTGTGAGATGCGCGAATCAGCAGCCCCCTTGATTCGGCGCGCAGTCCATACTCTTGTCAGTGGTCCTAAGGACAACAAAGACTGCCTCGCGGCCTGCAGGAACCGAAACCTAGTCTGGACAATTCAAGCCAGTGCAATATACCCAGTGCAGCAGAGGACTTACTTCAACGGTCAAAGAATACCTTAGACATTCTGCTACCCAACATCTGCCTGAAGCATGCAATGTTCTTTGAACGGTAGCGCAGCAATGAATGATTCGACCATTCAACTCAATATGATGACTCCCTAGAGCAAGACCATGGTACCGAATGAATAGGACGTGCCGCTCCGTATTTCCTGCCCATTGGCCTTTTCCCACCAAACGTCGAATGTTGACAGCCTGCGACCCCAGATGGAAGGATGAATTGGGTGCCGAAGTCAGAAAGGGCGCCATTCCCAAGGGTGGATGCTCTCCCCCCCACAGGCTGGGGCCACTTAATGTCTGCGTTGTGGACATGATCAGATGTGATCTGCCTTTCGCTCACTGCCCAGGTGTCTCAAGGTCTTGCAACAGATCTTGACGTGACTAGACCCTCGATGAAGTGCGCCAAACAGCAAGGAACTAATGCAACAGACCTTCTATTCTCATTCTCCGCTCCTCTCCTTTCTCATTGCTGCAGGCTCCGGGACGATCAGACAACGGGGAGATCTCCCATCGCCGGGCGCTCATTTTAGCTTCCCGCGCTAAAAACCCAAGGGTTCGCCCGTCATTTTTCGGCTCTCCGCCCGGCGTGGAAGGAGGAGCAGCTAAGTTACAGTGTTTACCTGCCTCACATTCTTCTGTTTGTCCGATCTTCAAATCGGATTTTCTCACTCATTATCCGCCCGCTTCAATCGTTTGTCCGATTCTCCTTTTCTGCTCTTCCTCTTCATCTCTTACTGTCTCTCTTCTTTCTAGTCGCTCATTTATCGGTGGTTCAGTCCATGACTTGATCGTGATCCGCTTACCCCTTCGTTCCCTTGAAGCTCCTCCGCCGCCGCCGCCGCCTTCTGCTCCCCTCTTCTCCAGCCTTTGCGCACCCGACCACTTGCGTTGGACAAATTTAGAACGACGCTGCTTCACAAATACAACCAAGAATATTCGAATTGACTATATTTATCATTCTTCGCAGTGACCAACACGGAAGGCGGCTTCGAACAAATCCCCTCCGCAGCCCCTCAATCGCGGCTCCTTCCTCATATGAGCGACACGACTTGCCAGTTCTCAGGCGATTTCATACAAGCGCCCATTCCTTTTGAAACATCACTACTCGAGAGTATCAATGCACCAAAACCTCTCCCCTTGTCTCCAGGGCGTTTTACCATAATCCACCTACAAACCCGCTCCGACTCGCCATGGCCTACAATACTCTGAGCGCGAAAAGCAAGACCAGCTCGGGGTCGTCCTTTCGCATCACACCTACAAATTCACCTGTTCTGAGACCCTCCACACGCTCTTCGATGCACAAGACACCGCCACAACAGGCAATCCTGGCCCTCCAGACAGTAATTGGTACCACCACCAACTCGCCCAGAGGCTTCTCCAGTCATGCGGGGAGTAATTCCTTCGCTATTTGCGCTGGCTCGACCGTCGTCCTAGCGGAAATAGACGAGAAAAACACCCTCCAGCAACGCTTCTTCAGGGCGCGACCTTCTGCGACCAGTGTCAATCCTGTCACCTCTTTCTATAATACCTCCACTCCTCCCACTACTCCAGATAGCAGAGCAAAAACTCCTTCGGGTACAAGGTCTGCAGCCCAAAGCGTCCTGCACGGTGGTAATGCCGGTAATGAGCTGGTGGAGTGCAATAGTCCACGTGGATGGTCATCTCGGGAAAGAGTGAAAGCAGTCACCAGCGTCGCGATAAGTCCGAATGGGGGTCTGCTTGCCGTTGGGGAGGTATGTCTCCGTAAATAAACTTGTATCAACGTACTCCTATGCTGATATTTGTTAGATTGGATATGGTCCGAGGGTCCTTATCTACTCAACCGCCAAAGGCGCCTCTGGTGAAGTCCCACTCTCCATTCTGACCGAGCATACGTTTGGGGTGCGTGGACTGGCTTTCAGCCCAGATTCACAGTATCTTGCCACCCTTGGCGATGTCAATGATGGATTCCTGTTTGTCTGGTCCGTGAACCCGAAGACAGGATCGGCCAGGCTGCATTCCACTAATAAATGCACTTCATTCATTCGCGACATGGCTTGGGTTGGGCAGACTTTGGTCACGTAAGTAATGTTATTTATCGCTCTGTCTGGCCTAGTACTAACAAGCTATTCAGAGTGGGCACCCGACATGTTAAGGTTTGGAGGCTGCCGGACGCGAGACCGGGATCTCCGAAATCTCGGCTTGCTGCCGAACCAAGCGCCAGTCCATCAAACCATACTCCGAAAGCTCTGTCTGGGAGAAATTGCTTGCTGGGCTCGCTAGCAGAAAGCACGTTCACCAGTGTAGCTAGCGTTTCTGACTGCGAGTCAGTAGTAGGAACAGACACGGGGGCTCTTTGCTTCCTGGATCATAACGAGGGAACACACAAGCTGTCTGTTGCCCATTACTTTGATTATGCTATCACTTCTCTCGCGGTCGATCTGGGCCGCTCATGTCTCTGGGTTGGTGGACGTGGCGGACGTATCCAGTGCATGACCTTGGCGAAATTACGTTCATTAACCGTTCCATCTTCGCCTGCGTTTTCTGGTAGATCCTCAGTGGAACCGAGTTCAAAGGGGCCCACCATCACATGTATGGGATGTCTTGGTCCCAACTTGGTGGCAATGGACTCTAGCAACGCTCTCAAAATATTCTCGACTGAAGACTTGAGTGATGATCTGGATATCAATGATAGTGATTTGGGAAACACTCTTCAAGCTCACAGGGATGCTGTCCTTGGTATCCGTCCATTCTCGGACCCCAATGACCTTGGAGCAGAATTCTATACCTGGTCACGCAATGGAGTTGTCAAGTTCTGGGATGACACAGGCAAGTGCCGGGACTCACGTTCGATCATTCTTGAGCATCCCACCGGGGTCAATGAGGATATCTCCAACGAGCTGAAAGTCTTGTGTGCTACTGATAACATGGATTACTTCTTGTCCGGCGACAAATTTGGTGTCCTAAGGTATCATATTGACCCGATTTGGCCATTGCTATACTCTCACTAACATACGGTTACTAGACTCTGGCTGAATCACCCATGGAAATGCATTCAAGAAGTCCGAGCTCATAGTGGGGAGATCACTGATATTGCTGTACATTCCTCCGCCCAGGGTCTTTTTATTGCTAGCGCCAGTCGCGATCGCACTATACAATTGTTTCTCTGGGCAAATGAGAGTCTTGAATTGATTCAGACCATGGACGACCACATTGGAGCTGTCAATGAAATTATTTTCATTGATAATGGAAAGCGACTAGTATCATGCTCTGCCGATCGTACCATTCAGATCAGAGAGTGCGTGAGTCGCGAGGCTCACGGCGCGTCTGCTTTCGCGTACTTGGTCTCTAAAGTGATAACATTGAAGGCCTCGCCAGTATCCATGGCACTACTACCAAAAAATGAGAACACACTCATTGTCTCCACTACTGATCGCTTTGTTCAGCGCATTGACCTGAGTTCTGGTCGACAAACTCATTCTTTCCGGACCACTGACGCTGATTCAACTGATACAGTGGTCATGAGCTCCCTAGCTGTCTCTGCCGACGATCCGGAACATGATTCCCCTAGAATGCTCGTAGGAGTGTCAGGAACAGACAAGTCCATCCGTGTGTACGACTTGGACAGAGGCGTCCTTCTCGCGGCTGAATTCGGACATACCGAAGGAGTTAGCGACGTTTGTCTGCTCTCGAGGAGTTCTAAGTCATCGAGCCAAGGGAAGAAGTGCTCTCTAGTCAGCTCTGGAATTGACGGTCTCGTTATGCTATGGGATCTATCGCTGCTTGCTCAAACACCTCGAGATTCCGTGCACACTAGTAATAAGGAAGACGATGACGCTCCAATCAAAGCTTCCGCAGTCTCCAAGCCTCCTTTACGCAAAGTCCTGTCCAGGCATGAGATTGCCGAGTTTCAGCGGCAGGAGAATCTTGCGGTCACTCCGACCCCTGCGCGTGGACATTCTCCAACATTCTTGCGGAAATTCGCTAAATTATCCCTTTCGCCTTCCCTTAGATCTGGAAGCACTTCTCCGACCTCACCCGCATCGACACCCAGTCGCCGCTCACATACGTCTGGCATTCATCGAGACAAAGCACATACATCACCCTCACTCTGCAAACAAAAGCCTCCTAGTGCTAAGAAGGCCGTATGTAGCCGCAAAGAATCTCGCCGTTCATCTATGGACTTCCGGGCTCGTGCTAGGAGTATGGGGAAAAGCGATCTCGGCGCACTCGATACGTCCACCGAACAAGTATGTCGAACATTAAAGGCTTACCGTAAAAAGCTCAACAGCTCGACAGAGTATTTACATACTCAGAGGGATTTGGAGAGGGAGCTAGAGCTCACGCTGCGTGTGTTGGCCTCCCGGAACAGGACCCGTGAGACCCTCGAGAACGATGCCGACAGCAGCGGCAAGGAAAATCAGAAGATATCTCGAATCGGCAAGTTCCATGAAGACTCATATAGCACCGAGCGACTATCTTCGATGCCGGAAGTTCAACGGACAGATTCGTTCGCGCCCTCAGAGATCTCTTCCCTTATTCTGAATGGCGATGATTGAACAAATGAGATTCAATGGCAGGCCCATTGCATTCTTCTATCACATTCTAGGGATCACAGTATTTCCTGATCATCCTCTTTCCTTTCTGTCTCTCAACTGTGATAACATATCATTCAAGCGGGACCTATGCACTTTGAATTCGCCTTGATGAGTTCATCGCTTACACCACCTTAGCTCTAAGCGTTTCAGGTGCCTCGATGTACTTGTTCCTCGTTTTAACCTCTCATTTACGAGGACTTCACATTTCAGGAGATATATCCTTCGTTTCTTACCGGCGTTCTATGCAAGGACACATTTGAGTTTGCGGTCCCCATCCAATCCAGTCGCTATGCTGCGGCATCATTTAGTCTTCTTTCTACTTAAGGTGAGGGCCTCGCTCCTGGGCTGGGATTTTTACTTCAAGTTCATATGCACCTGTTCTTAAACCTTCTTTATACTCTTCCTCGAGCGCATTTCTTTGGTTTCATTGGTTCTTTCCCGGGAAGTTGTTCAACTTCCTTTCACTTGCATCACATCCTTTATGTTGGCCTTGTTAGCTAAGCTCAAAATGATACCCATATTGGCCGAATACCATAGCAAGCCTAACTCTGATGGTTCTTGCATCGGGCTATGGATCTTTCCCATACGTAATTGACCGTGTCTTTTTCCGTGTTAGATTCTAATCGACCACCCAGCTGCATATAGACCTGTCACACTTGCCCCTCATTTCTAGTTTGTAGCTGACCCATAGACTCGCTCATACATTCATAATGCGGAGGTGGAGGCGGAGAAAACACTTGCCACCTACAGCTGAAACCTCCCAATTCAGACCATCCCACCCGACTCCTTGTCCATTGACCCCGATCCTTCCACCCCTCCCACCATCAACTTCCCATACCTCGCCCTCAACAACTCCCCCAACGCACCACCCCCGCCATCCTCCCCACCCACGCCATCCACCACCACCACCACCAGCAAGTCCGCCAACGCAATCGCCTTCCCCGCCCACCGCCGACACTCCCCATCCTCCCCGGCCAGATAGAAATCCACCGCCCGATTGAACGCCACCGACGCCATCCACTGCACCTCCACCGCCGGGAATCCGGTCATCTGCCAGTCCCGCACGAGGACCAGGACCTGATCGAGGACCGACTCCGCGAGGTCGGGCTGGCTTGCGTCGAGGGCCAGCTGGTACAGCACGTGCAGATACTGGGGCAGGGTCTGATACATGGTGGTGGTGGTGGTTGTGGTGTTTTTGGTGGATTTGGTGAGATCGGGGGAGGGGGAGGTGTGGATTGTTCGGAGGAGATGCTTTTTTTTTAGTTGTGGTGAGAATTGGATGGTGTGTCTAGGCATTGCTTTGGGGCTTGATGGGGCTTGGGCTTGGAGGTTGGAGGGTGGTTTGTATTCTTCTTCGTATGGGGGAGGGGGGACGTACCTTGATGGCTTGGAAGATGTTTATGAGAGGGGTGGTGGTGCTGGCGCGGAGAAGGATGTCGAGGTAGATTGCTGTTTGTTGGGGGGTGAGGATGGGAGAGGAGAGGTGGATTAGGTTGGTTATGTGGGTCCAATTACTGCTGCTGCTGCTGCTGCTGCTGCTGCTGTTGTTGTTCTTGTCGTTGCTGTTGAGATGGATTGAGGCTTCTAGGTCGAGGGCGAGAATGGTGCGGTATTTTGGGAGCCAGAAGGTGGTGCTGTCTGAATCCAGGCTTGCGCTTGAAGCGGGAATGGCGTTTGAGGGCAAGTTTGGAGCTGGAGTTGGGATTGCTCTGGAATTGTAGGGCCACTGGTGGTAGTTGGTGAGGTTTGCTTGGAAGGCCATGCTGGATTCATGGGCTGCTGTGTAATGGGTTTTCTGGATGTTGAGGGATTTGAGTTAGGGTTACGGATGATGGAAAGGGGCCGGAGGGAGGGTGCAAGATGACCTTCTTTGTTGGATCGGAGGTTTGTCGCGCAAGTGATATGTGCTTGGTTGTCTTTAGGGATTGGCAAAGGAGGTACGTGGTGTTGAGTGGTGGGCCGGTTGAATTGACTTGTTCCTGGTGTAGGGTTGTGAACTAGAGGCTGGTAAGTCTGGAAATTTGGAGATGAAATGGAAGCGGCTGTCTTATACCTTGGTGGATGTTTCAATGAGACTCAGGGTCTGCTCAGTTTGTTCCGAGTCCCGTAGTCTCAGCGCCAGGTTGTAGCTCTTCTTCGCAAGCCACTCTAGCTCGTCGGTGGTGAAAGCGCCTGCTTGCTTCTGAGCGGAAAACCTATCTATGGCTAATCGGGTTAGCTGACACTTTGTCGGACTTGATAGGAGGCCATGAACCTGCTTTAAATGCAGATATTATTGCATCTACTAGCCCTTCATTTGTGGCATCGCAGGCGTCGAGTTCAGTGACAAGATATAGGATGGTAGACATAGAATTATTGTCAGTCGGGAAAGCCGATGGTGCGCTCAACTTCACACATACTGAAACAAACGCACTGTCTGGTTGTCGAGTTGAAAGCCTTCCTTGCTCGGAAAAAGTTGCTGAAGACATTGAAGTGCCTCTATCATCTTTCCCTGTCGAAATGCTTCCGCTATGCATGATATGATATACGGCGATGATGTCTCGACGAGCTCGAATAGTGCTTGCATATAAACAAAACCTGTGCCTTGTTAGAAGGCCAGAAACAGACAGCAGGAGAACTGCCTACTAGAGGTACATGTACTGTTCCGCAGGGTCAACTTGTACATCAGATACAAAGTCAGCGGGCAATGTCTGCATTCTTCTGGCAGTTGGTTGAAAAGTGTATCCGCAGCGGTTGTGCTCAGTGTCTCAGAAGCACAAAGAATAAGTCTCCTATCTCTTCGTCAGTTTTGATGGGAAGATGTGGCAATCTTTCTTACCTGAATAGCTTAGATCTGGTGTCGGAGGAAAGTGGAATGACTGGCTGTTTGAGCATGAAGAGACACCATTGTTCTGCGGAGAGTGCATCATGATTCGATATCGCTCGATTTATGTGCTTCCAGACTATCTTTGACTCACTCAGCAACTGGTAGTTGACCTTAGGATTGGGACAATACCATCAAACAAGCTTGTTGTGCTTCTACGCCAAGGAATTGCGTGTCGAAAGTCAGGTTTTCTACAACCCTTTTAAAGAGTCGCAGGCTCGCCTGTGCAGAAAAACATGGATCTGTCAGAGCATCGACTAGCCTGACAAAGACATGTTCGAGTAATCGGTGTTCATGATCAAGGCGCGGACTCCCAGTCATCTCAGTCAGGAGCCGCTCTAGTGCATGAAAATACATTTCGGGACTGCTGCATGTCAGGATAGGTGTATCAGTTGCTCACATGGTGACTCACGAGTCCTGAAGCTTGTCGATATAGTAAAGGATCCTATCAAAGGTTACTGAGCTACCTTGTCATTCTAGCTGGGCACCCGCACATCCTGAAGCTACTTTCTGAGGCATCCACCGCCTTGAAGGCGTCTTGTAGTACTACCATGACTATCAGTGACTGCTCTTAATGATAGTGGGAAAACTCACCTTGAAAGTACTGTTCCACATCCCTTTCCCCTCGAGCAAGAAGTTCAAGCTCGAGAAGCCGAACTGAAAACACATTGCTATACTGCTAAACACGCATGGGCATAGAAGCATTGCTGGAGAATGGACCCACTTACAGATTTGAGCTGCTCGAGGGCTCTCGCAAGACTGTCTTGAGAGTCATGCGTATCAAGGTATATACTCGCTCGAACTGTTCCGAAGTCAGTATATGAAGTATGAAAGACCGAGATAGTCCAGGGCCCACACCCAAAGCATGCAGAGTCAGAAGCTCCTTATTCTGCAAAGCTACATCAGATTCTTTAGAACTGGAAACGAGCAGCTTGCATTGCTGCAACCCCCTTTCCAACCACTTCGCCGCCACATCATACTGCCTGCGTGACAATGCCGAGCTCCCAACCTTGAAGCAAACATCCAGAACACAGCAGTCGCCAGTGTTCAAGTCAGGAATATTGAGAAACAAATGATCTGCAATGTCCGGTCTGCCTTGAATCCAAGCCTGAATCCGGTCCTCCCCGTCAGCAGCGTACAGTACCCAGACTTCAGCTCCGCGCAACAGGATCATACATACCAAGTGGACCCGAAGCGCATAGTAATGCACGTTGCACTGGCGCAGTCTCGCTTCATCGACATCTGTATCCAAGTGCGCGAGCGCATCCAGCCGCATGGCTACCGCTTCGATGACTTTTAAGCTGATGGCGACGCAATCATGTTCTGAGGCGCATGTCAACATGGGCTGTGCCCGTAGCCAATGCTCGCTTTGACGATCATATATACCTATACAAGTCTTGACTAGCTTGGAAGCTGTCTCTAAGACTCTGAAACTCTCTGGTGCAGAGGTAAGTTAGTAGTGTCAGACATCCTTGTGGACCATAAGGCTATACCTAGACTCCGATTCGAGACGGCAGTGTCGAGCATAGCCCATGCGAACGCTTTGACTACGTCTCCGCTCAGACTCGATACCTGAGATTATACGGCAGGTAAGGGTGTATGTACCTTTGCACAAGACCACGGGTGATGTAGGGTCGCTGCAGTTCGTCATACGCTGCGTGCAGCTGTTCCACAGTTCCGTGCCTGCGTGGTCCAAGCGCCGGCGTATGGAGGAGGAGGTGCCTGTGGGTATTGGCAGGAGACTGAGATAGCTGTCTAGCTTGTTCGACGTTGCTGCATTTGAAAGTAGACTTGGGTCTTCGTGGTCGTCTGCCTGGACTTGCTTCTGAATCTCGCCTGCAAAGGCTGGGGGAGGTAAGTACAGCACTTCACTCTGGTGCGAGGTAGTCTGCTTACATAGAATGGCCTCTCCTGCCATTTCAGAAATCCGAGACGGGCTGCAGACGGTTGTTATGAAGTAAATCCTTGACTTGGAAGGGAACTGTACGATACCCCTGGGCGATGTAGTGGAAGTGCATGGCTCGTGTAAGTAGGTTGCTATTCCGCACTAGGATAAAGGGTGGACCTGATACACAATGGCATCGGGGACCACCTGACCGGCATACTCCCTATATGTATGGCACTACAAGTATAACAGGCTTTGACTCTTAGAAGCATCTCATTTTCTTGAACCCAAATTATGGTACATTTCCTAAAACTGGGAAGCTGTTCAAGTCAGGCTATTACCTGGCTCCTGTGAAGCAAATGACAAAGAAATGGATATCTATGGACCAAAGCTAGATGAAAGTGTGAATAATGACTCCGTACTGAAGCGAGCAAAAGCAGACAATGTGAAGGCGATGGACTTTCATTTTGCTTTCCGCTGCGAAGGTAAGAAGTTTCCAATTATGAGAGATGGTCTGTTTTCCAGGGGAGTTAGTGTTCCATCACCGTTTCATTCCTTTGGGAATTGACTCACATGTTGTGGTTATCTCTCCGTATGGTGAATGAGAAGCAGCAGGGAATACCGTCAGTAGACGAGTTCGAATTGGGATTTTTCAATGTGCAGCTTGTGAGCATTGCCTTTTGGGTGCTATCGAACGCAATCGCCCCGAATTTCTCCCAGTAGCTAACAAGCTGGTCTTCCACAATGATTTCATGGATAGCCAATTTACCCTGTCTAATGTTAGCATCCATTCATCACCGGCCAAGGAGACCAAAAACGACTTACATCGCGCAAGGACTCGATAGGAACGCCGATCAGCTCTGCCATTTCTTTGTTCCCTCGAAAGATCTCTCCTGTTCGTCTCCAGCAGCAAGCAGGAATAGCCATACTAGCGAAAACACGATCATACTCCATCAGACTGCGTTCGAACCACATCTCCACCAGTATCAGCTCAATATCGGTCAGACTTTGCATCCTCTCCCGAAACTTCGGCCGGAATTTATCCAGCTGTCGAAGAATCTTCTGCCGTGAAGCTTGCTGGAGGTGTCTTTCCATATACTGGTTCAGCCTTGCATAGCCCTTGACATAATTGAATGGTCTCAAGAGGCCGGCGTCATACTTGGCCTTGAGAAGTTTGTTCATTCGCTCCTCTGGTGGATCTGAGCCTGAAGGATCAGCTGCAGTCATGTAATATGTCTCTCTTGCCTTGTCGTTGCCCACCGCAGCAGCAGGGCCCTGAGCAGATTCACTCTGGGTTTGCTGATGCTGCTGATTCTGATTCTGTTGCGACTGTGCCTGTTGGGCTTGCTGGAGCATAGACGGGTTTGATCCTCCTAAGGTGGCCATGGAGTTTATCAATGTCGGGTCTGAATAGATCCCATGCAGATCATCATTTTGGAAAACCGATCCATCGTCAAGGAGACTATTACTGAGAAAGTCCCCAAGAAGGTTGTACTCGTTGGTGACCTCGGGCGCATTGAACATATAGGAGGGATGAAATGAGTGCATGTCTTGAAATTGGCTTTGCCCGCCAATCCATTCGTTGAAGGGAATTACTGTGTAATCGCGTCAGTGACAATTCTCCAACGTCATCTTCATTAGGTGGCGTCTCACCGGAAGAAGACACATTGCCCGGCTGCTGCACCGAGGGCACAGAGGAAGCCGATAGGCCCATTGTCGCATCGGGGAGGATTTGCTGACCGGCAGCATCCTGGACATCGACCGTTCTGGGCATTCCTTGGATGTTTGGGTACTCGTTGTTCGAAGAGGCTTCGTCATCCGCAGCCGAATGCTCATTCTCGCTCCGGGACCGCTTGGAAGACTCTCGAGGCTCGTCATGGCACAGGTGGCCAATGTTCCGCTTTATACATCGTGTACAAGGTCGTTCCTATCAAACCAAATATCTCGCGTCAGTATGCCTGACTCATTGGGAAACACCCTGTGCAAAAGACGTTTCACAAAGGGTGTTGGAAGGAACAACGTTCAAGAAGGTCGTACCGAGTCGCAAGTCATATGCTGTGCCACGTGGAATACCCTCCTGTTAGCAAGTGAACCACTTTGGGATATCGATCAATTTGTTCTCAAAGAGCGGAATGCCGCTCTAGACATGACCAGGGAAGGTTGTTTGGCGGCCGCATGTGAGAGAGGCTTACCGATCGCCGACAGTAAACGCATGCTAGCAGTCATTTTCGCATCAGCCAGCCATTCGGGACGGGAATCTATGACAGAGAGAGCCCATTGATTCCTACCGTCACCCTAGCAGGGCCCATGGCAGAGACTATCTACTTACCATGATTGACCTTGCGGCGCTTCTTCGGACTCGAGTGAGCCCCCACCGCAACCATTTCAGATTTGGGGCCCTGTGTGCCCAGCAGTTCCTCCTTTACATTAGGATTTTCTCGCGTGTGTTCGCCATTTGCTATGCTGATTCTCGATTTATCGGTTGTCCCGTTGTTGGGTTGGTGTTCGGGCCCTGTACCCGGATGCGCTGCGCTTTTCTCCGTCATTGATCGCTGGGCGCAAAACTGTTGCGCAAGAACGGGATCGATACTGAGATCAATTGATTCGACTGGCACAGGGCGCTCCAAGGAGGATGGCAAGTTGCAGACATTCAAGGCTATGAGAAGATTAGGTTGGGCAGTAACGGTCAACAATTTCGGGTGCTTTGTTGCGGCGTTGGTCTTGTAAACCGCTCAGTAGAAATTGCGAGGATGCGCGCGAATGCGATCGGCTCATCGAAGTTCCCCGCTGGAGCGGGACTTGGATCTTTGAACTCCCGGGCTCCTCCGCATTGGGAGGGGAGGGGGGAAACAGAACGGCGGCTAATCTGTCAGCCTCGGGAAAGACTTGGCCCTGGAGCCACAGCCCATGTGCCACATTAGACTAATCAAATATGAGTATAGTAACTTACTGTACAGAGCAGAAACTAGGTTGCGTCGAATGATCTTTTAACTACGGAATATAAATGCCTCATACAAAAAAAGGAAGTCCCTCGGTTAAACTCACTACATAGTGCTTGGAAACTCTTACGTTCAACAAATTTTAAATGGTATGATTTACGCTCTTGTAAAGTGAAAGCACGTGGGCTATGCCTCAAAGTAGTATGGTCTTCAACACGAACTATTCTACACGCAAATAGGTCACTTGCATTTGCAGGCCCGAGCCCACAGCATTCTCAGATATGTACTCGTCTTTGCGTGCCAGTTGTAGGCCAAGCGACCCATCAGTCCACTGTCTGGTGTATGTTTCACTGCTTGACTCGAGACCCAGTTTCTCGTATATTGTTCAGTGCATGTATCGCCAAGAGATGCGGACCCTGTAAGCAAAAAAATGGCCCTTTCATACCGAGGCCATGTACAGGGGCTTGATGCATCAGCTTAAAGGAATCCGCTCCTCGATCGTTGGTGTTGCAATTGGAATATTTGGCCGAGTTTCTGACGCCAGCGTCACTGGTTCGGCGTTCAGGACCCCCTGGCCCATGATGATGTCGCTGTGCAGACTTCGCCGTACTGATGTCGCTGTGCAGACTTCGCCGTACTGATGTCGCTGTGCAGACTTCGCCGTACCATTGAAGGAAGATCAGCCTCAAATGAACAGCATGAGCTGCAAGTTTTGTTTTATGAGCTTGTTTGCTTCGAAGTTGCTTCAGTCTTCAGGAAGGAAAGTCAAACTCAACGCCGCTTGAGATTTGGCGACAGCATCGCTCAAGCCAGTCAGAGGAGTCGTGTTATTTTGCATCGACTTGAGATGGCCATTCAACTGTTCTAACAGACCAAGAACTTCTGGATCGGCCTCAAGCTAAATAGGGCTTGTCAATAATGTGGCCGTACAGTTTGGAAAAGCTCCTACCTCATCAAACATAACGTGTGCGTCGTTATCATTTGCTATGGTAAATCCGCACTGGTTCGAATCGTGGTTATCAGGAGCGTTGCTCAACTGCCGTAGCACCGGATGTTCCTTGATGAAGATGAGAATCAGCAACTTAATCTTGCTATCACTGAACAAGATCCTTACATTCTTCATCTGCCTCTTTCTTTCTGCCTCAACTCCCTTTGCATTTCTCTCCATCTCCTGCAGCTGCTTCCTCTCTTTCTCAAGCAGTGCTTCCTCTTTCTCTACCTCAACCTTCAATAGATCGATACTATCATTCATCGTAGCTAAAGCAGCCTCTAACGAAGACTTGACTTTGAGGTTAGACCAGTTTCCGAGTCGGTCGATCGATGGTGGAATCGCCTTACATGTTCTTTGAGAGCTGCTTCGTACTCAAACACGGAATCTTTCGCGACGGGGGGGAACGGCATTCGCGGCAGTCGTTTTCCCAAACTAAGCGACAGTATGTGGTCAGTTCTAGCCCCGAGAGTCCAACGGCACGTGTCAGGGACAGTACTTTTTCACAACGGCCTGCACGGCGGCCTGCGCTTCGATGCGCTTGCTTTCATTTTGTTGTCGCATGATGACAGGGCGCTCCAGGGCTCGGAACATATCGCGAACTTTGTCTTGAACGGGTTCTGGAAGCGTCGACCACTTGCTCTTGATGGTCCTCTCAGAGACCTGCCTGACTTGGGGCTTGAGGTAGGCGAATCGCTTGTTGCGTGCATTGCTATCGTGGTCCGGCGCATGGCTCGCACGCTTTCGTTTCGGAGGAGGCATGTTCTTCAAGGGCCCGCGGGACGTTCCTCTCGGTTGAATCTTCGATTTGGAAATCAAGGCTCAACGATGGTTGTGCGATTGATGTTGTCACATTGAGATGGTTTGGTGGTTCTTGCGGAGTGTCAGACTGTTGTCCGGTCCCAGAACAACAAACGGGGGCGGATCACATGACATTTTGTTTCCCATGCGGAACTAAACAACCTTCGTAAAAGGCTAGGCTAAGCCGCTTCAGCGATGCGGAGCACCCCCGCGAAACTAGTACTGTCCAATACTCCGTACAAACCTCATCATTGTTAAGTGCTTCCTACATTGCGCGGCCGCAAACTTTTTCAGACCTAAAAATGTATGGATATCGGTGCGAAAATCGGATACATTTCAGTTTATCGTACTAGGACGCTCTGGTGAGAAAGTATCTGTCTTTTACTGGCTCGAAAAGGTGTCTGCGCTCCATTATATATTTTGGTTTAACAAGTTGCATCTGCATAGAAGACAAGCAAAAAAGTGACCTTTGATGATCTTGTGCCGCGCTCAAGGTACTGGCGATAATTGAGAAGATTTTATTGTGTTTAGTTTGATCGTAGAACATTCGGGAATTTGGGCTATATAGTTACACATGCATCGGCTATAATCGTATATAAATGTGGCGATGAAAATAGGCCAGAAGGGGTATTATGGGTAGAAGAATGACATGCGGCAGGCCAGCAAGCAAAGTCGCACTAGTAGAGCCTCGCCGGGAAAGGTGTGATTCAGATCATGACCGCCAGAGAAGAACGCCTGCAGTTTCATCTGGAAGATGACTGGAAAACCGCTCAAGTGCTCCAATGTACAGAAAAGTCAAAAGGTAAGCTCATGCTTTTGAACAAGACCTGGGAATTAATAATGGTAAATCGTGATCGCGTAACTTGGATGAGTGCTATCGTGGCATGACCAAGCCGTTCATTGATTTCATCTCTGCGAGCTGTGCTTTGAGGATTTCATTGCCTCGCAAGATCTCCTCTAACCAATCGGCGGCTTGAGTTAGCATCGCGCTCTTACTAAAGCCGCCTCCTTTCAGCCCGGGGACAAGTAGGCATAGGTCATCGAACCCCTGTCGGATGAGATTTCGTCGCTTCTGCTCCGAGAGAATGTGGTTGCTTCTTTTCTGTTCTTCGGTTAAGTTCTCTCGCGCAGCTTTTGGCCCCGAAGAGAGCCGTCGTTTTTGGATGGTATCTTGCGATAGTCGCCGAGTTGAGGATTTGGACATCTTGGGTTTTTGTCGCAAGGTATCGTCATCCGAGGTTTCGTCATCTTCCTCTTTGACTAAGGTTCTCTGTTTCTTCTTTGGCTGAGCGAGATCTTCCACGTGGTCCCGAAAGCCTCGCCGTAAATTGCTGAGTTGGCCAGCTGCGGCGGCATCTGCCCACGGAGCATCGTAACCTCCAGAGTGTCTTACTGTTACGGGACTCGGCGCGCGTGTGTTCGTTGCACTGCTCTGGGGTTCGAGGCATACTAGATGACCGAGCAGCTCTTTGGTCCGATCCTCCTCATTAGGCTGTTCCGGAGGCGCCATATAACCCTGGCCCATGAAACCGACATCTGAGCCCCAATGAAGCGGGCGCACCTTTGCCGTCACTTGTTGCTCGGGTGATATGGGCTCTCCAACATCGAACAGCATCTCTGACGTATGAAACCCCACGGGCATGCGGCGACGAGACGGCTGCTTTGACTGGCCATGACTGCTAGGCGCCTGGACCTTACCGTGGCCATTCATTCTTGGATTGTTGAAATCTGTGTCGGAAGAAGCAAAATTGTGGTGATTGAAGCTGGAATTGAAGTCATTTCCAGTGATTCCGTTGTGGTATAGCATAGAAGCAGCCGCGAAAATATCTGCACTTGTGTTTATCTCCGGTGCCATCATCTCCATGCTAGACTTGTCCATGCTGCCATGAGGGAGACCTGGTTGTGAAAGAGACGTCGTGGAGCCCTCGAAGGTGGGCGGTAGTTCGCCTGGCCAATCTAGCCCGCTAGTCCCAAGCAAACGGTTCGTCTGTCCCCCCATCCAGAAGTCGTTCGGGAAATGGTTGGAGTTCATCGTCGTGAAGAAGTTGTCCAGCATAGTGGACTCGTTGTCGTCGAGAAGAGCGGGCCCGGGCGGTCGTGCAGGCGCAGGTTCGTACGGAGTGTCCATTGGCGAAAGGAAAGAATCTATACGCGTACACATCTTTAGCATGAGCACGGAAGAAATTGTGGATTGTTGAACATACAGCCAAACGGGCCAGGTTGTGGGCTGTCGCTGCCATTATGCGCTTCAGGGTTTCTGAGGTCCATGATGGCGACACCGTAGGAGAAATGAATTTGAGGGTTTGAAGATCGTGACTCGACTTTCCGCATCAGTTGCTACCCTAGTTGGAGAGCAGCGCCGAGAAGACAGCGCGGACATGCCTTAACCGGCGTAGGTAACGTTGAATCCGATTGCTCGGGGATGATCGGGGCTCGCAGGCCACAGAAGCTCACAGGCACGAGCTGAGGATTATGATGCGAACGCTTGTTGTCAACAGATGCATTCGATTCGGGTACAAGCTGGGGATGACAATGACAGAATGACCGGCGGGTTTGTTATGTATGGAGCAAAGCAGCGTTCAAGCGGAAGGACTCGGTTGCAAAGTGGGACATCTCCCACATTAATTCGCTAGACAAATAAAAGGAAGGATGACGGAAGGTGGAGGAGAAATCCGGGGGAAATAGCTTGAATGGTGGAGAGAGATCACTCTCTGTTGGCTGGGCGAGAGAGCGAGAGACTGACTGGAGAGCAGGTAGAGTTGGTAAGTAAGAGAGAGAGAGAGACTCACTCACTCAGTCACTCACTCAGCATAGGTAAGGTAGTAGGAATTCGTTCGGTCTTTATGAGTCGATCACATGCAAAAAATCTCGCGCTCGACCGGCGGTCGCGTGACGTAACAGTAATACGCCAAATACCACACTCTGGCTGGGCATTTGGGCTGAAGCGCAGTAATGTTTCGGTACGACCTGCTTAGTCTCGGCCCAATTTCCCAGTCCGTCGTTGCAGTTGCTGCTGGTCTTCTCTACATTCAACCCAACTAGTTATTAGTCCACGGTTCTAGTTAGTTAACTGTGTTGATTAATTGCTGCTGCATCCCACCATCTCAATTCAATCAATTCATTAATCAAAACCCATTCGCCTAACAATTCGGCCATTCTAGCCGTGGGACGAAAGAGCATGTTTTGAGCTTTCTAGATCTCTCAGCAACCTGTGGTCCGTCGTATCTCCTATATCTTTTTTTATAGACCCTTCCCTCTCCGCTCATCCACGGGTGATGCTCAAAGACCCCAAGTTTGGTCCAAGCAGCCACGGGGATCGTCGTTGATTACCGAATAATCGTTACCCCTGACCCAGCCCTAGCAGTGACTCTCCCTCGTGTCTACAAGAACCGAGGCCTTCCAACTGCGTCGCACGGATCCCGCGGGGAATCCTATGAAAGGTTGCTGTGGAGCACAGAGCTTTGTGGTTATCGCCGCAGATCAAAGCGTTTGTGCCAGCACTCAATGCCTTAGATTCCCAACTTTGTGTAATGTCCTAGTCCAATCTTGAGGCAGACTCATCCCCTCACAGGTTAGTGAAGAAGTTTATCGTTTGACTGCCACTGGTGATCAAATGAAATGAAGCACCTGTCTGACAACAATTGGTAGACTGCGTTGGTCAAAAATCTCCAGCGGAGTCATGAATGGTGAGCTTGGGACACCATGGATCCTGTTGCCATCCGCTCCCAGCATCGCAGCAGAGTTGACATCCTAAAGCCGTACGTTCTGACCCATCTAACACAAATTCTCTTGAATTCTCTTGACTTTCATTTTCTTGAGCCGTACCAAGCTCACTGTTCAAGGATACTGCGCGCGTATGCTCTTGGATACTTGTCTTCAACCACCCCGAAAATCATTTCCTGTCTACGGCGCATCCAGGACAAAAGGCTTAGCAACAAAGATAGGCTGAAGGAGGTAAGAAGCTCCCCCTGTTTGTCTTCTTGGCCAGGGTTGTTCATGCTACACCAATTGGTGTGTGCTGGCTATTTGTGCTCTTTGTGAATTGCGGATGTATTACTTGGAAGACCAATAGCTCATCTCGCTTTTGACAGCTGTTCCATACGTTGACCAATGCGTTACGGCTCGAGAGATTTCCCACATTCTGTGCTCTTTTGATTGGTGGTTCAACTATTGCTCCCTTCATACTTTCATGCTGTCTTGAGCATGTACGCCGCAAATTCAAGCTTAACACTTCTGCGTATACTTCGCAGCGCATGCGGATTATTCAGTTTGTCTCGGCGTTCTTGTCTGCTTGGTACTCATTTCCACTCTTGAATAAACAGCCCATCAGAATACAGGGTAAACCGAGGGATCCTGATGATTGCACTCCGATGCAGAGTGTTGGGGAGCTGGAAATGGTCGGAGAAGCACCAAGCGCAAATTCTCAATTTGTTGGCCGGAGCATGGATCTTACGCTCTTTAGCCTCACACGCGCTGCGGACTCAATCGTGTGCATAGGGTGGCAGCAGTGGCGGCGGTGGCGGAAGGGCGGAAACCACTGGACCTGGGCAGAGCGTGTAGCGCCCAAGCTTGCTAATGCTGGTGCATTCGCTGCCAGTGCGGCGATAGTCATGTGGGCATGGTTCTATATGCCAGAAAGACTGCCAAGGTCTTATGAAAAGTGGATTGGGGAAGTTGCAAAAGTTGACTCCAGGCTGATTGAAGCACTTCGCGGTGCCAGGAGAGGTGTATTGGTATATGGGAAGGACACTGGACATGCTCCCCTCCTACAATCCATGTGCAAGGACTACGGTTGGCCTCTTGACTGGGGTGATCCCTCGAGCACTGTCCCTATACCCTGCGAGATGGTCCACATGGGATGTGGTCCGAGCTGTGAGAAACATGCAGTATCTAGATTTGCTCGAACGTTCAAGTTTGCTTGTGCGACTTACATTCCTTTACAGCTTCTCCTGCGCCTGCGCAAATTGAAGTCAATGTCGTCACTCAAGCACGCCTTATCAACCGCCTTGCGCTCATCTGCGTTCCTTGCTTCGTTTGTGAGCATGTTCTATTACTCAGTGTGCCTCGCCAGAACAAGACTAGGCCCCAAGATCTTTGCCAGTGACACAATCACACCCATGATGTGGGATTCTGGGCTTTGTGTTGGTGCGGGATGTCTCATGTGCGGATGGAGTATACTCATCGAGAGTGCGCAGAGACGGCAAGAAATTGCATTATTTGTAGCACCCAGAGCCGCAGCGACGGTCATGCCGAGGTTTTATGATAAGAAGGTATGCTTGGTTGACTTGGCCATAGCGTTCGGTTGCTTGGTTCGAGGATGGTTGCACTAGCCCCGTCGTTCCATCCGTCATCCCGATTCTGGGCTACCCTAGATTTTGAGATCCTATGCTGACAGTTTCTATTTGCTCGATAGTATCTGTATCGTGAACGCATTGCATTTGCTATCAGCGCTGCTGTTCTTCTAACGTGTGCACAAGCACGTCCCGAGATGGTCCGAGGGGTTTTTGGAAGGGTAGCAGCGAGTGTCTTGAGATGAATGGGCACGAGCGACTCCCTTCTTCCAGCAGCAATCTGTTCAAGCATCATTGAATCATCAGACCCAATGCTCGCTTCTGCTACTCATCATCAAACGGTGATAAAGTGGGCTTGGAGAGTCGAAAACCTGCGCAATGACCGCGCTTGCATCTTTACAGCAAGTGTTATCAAGTATGAAACATTAAAACGGCTCCAAAGAAGACTAAACTCAGTTTATACATATAAGCAAGTGAGTCAAACGGTATCAGTCTGCACGCAAATGACGGGTGGCTCGGTAAGGGAAATGAAGTGTAGCACCTCAGGCTGATAATTTTGAAGATCGGAGACATGGCACAGCGGTGTTGGACCGTCAAGCGCCTCTCCGACACTGGCAGTTAGGGCTACTAGGCAGCTATGCAATTGTTCTAAGGCAAGTTGCAATCGGGAGTCTTCTCCTCTGTTATGACATGAAATCATCCATAAGCAAAAGTGCCTAAGCATGACTTGAATCTCCCGTAATTTGGGATAAGCTTTAAGAGACAGTATGGGGGATAAAATGAGCTCTTGATTGTGCAGGCAAGCTATAGTCTGATGCCTGAATGGCAGCGCAAATTGACATAGACCGCCTTTGTCACCGTGAGATGCGGCAGAATGTCCTCAACCTCGGAGAAGGAGATCTAGGGGGGAAACCCTGAACAGCACCCAAGACGGGAGTCCGATGGCAAAACTGTTTGAGAAGGGCGGTGGCAGAAAACTGCCCACTAACCACAATGATTATCACCACATGATCAGCCCACCTTATCGGATATTCTCGAGTCACGTGTGACAAGGACATTATCGAGCCTGGACTTGATGCTGCAGTGGGTGTCCATTTACACTGTCCCCGCAGCACATCTCTTTTGACCATGATTTCCCGTTCAATATCCTCATGGGGCCGGCTCCCATTGCCGGGATCAAGTCTTCGTCTATCTGCCCAGATCAATTCAAGATGCATGGATTCTGGAAGACGATTCTTCACTCGCAATTCAGTTCTACGACAAAACATTAATGCTCCCTTCAATACACCTCAATCGCAAAAGCGCAATGCGTCCACCATGTATGATGACATGGCGACTGTCTATCCAGTGCAATGCTTATAGATCACTAGGTATTATACCATGAGTATCATTCTCGGTACCGTTGCTTTGGCTTATGGCTCTGTTCCTCTGTATAAAATGGTGTGTTCAGCCCTGTGAATATGCACTTCATCTGCGTCATATATTTACTTCTACCGCCCATTGTATAGATCTGCCAACAAACTGGCTGGAACGGTCAACCATCTACTACGCATCGCGGAGGCGACAACGATACCGCATCCCGTGTCAAACCCGTGACAGACGCCCGTCGACTCAGAATAACCTTCAATGGATCAGTGTCGGATGTTTTACCGTGGAAATTCACTCCGCAGCAACGCGAAGTCCGTGTGCTTCCGGGAGAAACAGCGCTTGCTTTCTTTACAGCTACGAATAAGGGCCCCACAGATATCATTGGTGTTGCGACATACAGTGTGACCCCTGGTCAAGTCGCACCCTATTTCAGCAAGATTCAATGCTTCTGCTTTGACGAGCAGAAGCTTAACGCCGGGGAATCGGTCGATATGCCGGTATTCTTCTTCATCGACCCTGACTTCGTCACGGACCCAAACATGAAAGGCATTGACACTATCACTTTGTCATACACCTTTTTCAGTAAGAGCAACTCCGAGCGCGCACTATCTGCACAGGTTGCTAACATCAAGCAGAGGCACGATACGATGATAACGGGGTACTCACGCCATTGCCTGCGTGATGATATCTGGATACCCTTGCTCAATTTGTTTTCTTGACACCAACTCAGGCGCCTGTGACGAAGAGGCTTTCATCAGAGGAAAGCCTCTGACGACCTGTAATCGAGTAGGTTTCAGTAAAGACACCTGCTTGTCAACCCCTCTCATAAAGACCTCACATCTCACTTCTCCGGCAAATTCTCTTCAAGCCACCATAGCAGATAACCTTTGGCGTCTATTCGGGTTTTGTACTATAGAGCATGTATATACAAAGAACTACCAGTATGTGTACGATATGGGTAGGAGATTTCCCTTGTATGTTGCCTACGGGCTCAGAGTTTGAATCATTGCCGTTGTTAATGGCATTCCAAGTACTTACTCGTTCTGTCTGCGGATATCAGGGAAGCCATGAGAATGAATCTCAAGTAAATTAGACTAGCACAAGTCTCATCCCAAGTCGACCATGGAAAGTTGCATACCTTACATTGCTCAGTGCCTGAGGCATAAGAGCGGAGTGCGGAACAGTCGGGTATTGCTCTCATTGGTTCCGACATGCATAGTCAGCCGAAGTGCACGGAGCATCAATTAAGCTCGCGTCACGGGCGACGCGTCGGCCGTCCATTAGCTTCGAGGACGGGAATTGTATGGCGGCGACAAAATAGCCCAGCGACTTCATCCATACACTTTGAAGCTCAAAACCGATCGCTCAAGATGGCGTTGCTAGTTGATAAACACCGACCTCGCTCGCTGGACTCTCTGACATATCACCCAGAGCTTTCCTCACGACTAAAGTCCCTGGTAAGGCACACTAGAGAACCTTGAATAGCGAAATGATAATAATCATCGAAACATGTTTAGGCACAAAGCGGCGACTTCCCACATCTACTGATCTACGGACCATCAGGCGCAGGCAAGAAAACACGCACGATCGCAACCCTGAAGGAATTGTACGGCCCTGGAGTGGAGAAGATCAAGATCGACGCCCGAGTCTTCCAGACGACGAGCAACCGGAAGCTGGAGTTCAACATTGTCTCCTCCGTCTACCACTTGGAGATCACACCGTCGGATGTGGGCAACTATGACCGCGTCGTCGTCCAGGAGCTGCTCAAGGAGATCGCGCAGACGCAGCAGGTCGATCTCTCGGCGAAGCAGCGGTTCAAGGTGGTGGTGATCAACGAGGCGGACCACTTGACGCGCGATGCGCAGGCGGCGCTCCGACGGACCATGGAGAAATACAGCCCCAACCTCAGACTCATCCTCCTGGCCAACAGCACCTCGAATATCATTGCGCCGATCCGATCCCGCACCCTGCTGGTCAGGGTCGCTGCGCCCACGGAAAAGGATATCTGCGCGGTGTTGCGGACGGCGGGCAAGAAGGAGGGGTGGCCAGAGGCGGATGGGCTGAATCAGAGGATTGCGAGGGAGAGCGGTCGGAACCTGCGCCGCGCGCTGCTGATGTTTGAGGCCATTTATGCTCAGAAGTAAGAGTTCCCCTCCCTCATTGCTTGTGTTCCTGGAACCCCGGGGCTGAGAACGTTTTTTTTTTCGGACATTACAGTGAGAAAGTCACCGACAACACGCCAATTCCACCTCCCGACTGGGAAGCATTGATTGCGCAAACTGCGGATGAGATCCTGGCGGAACGGTCACCGGCTCAATTGTTGCGAGTCCGCTCACGTCTGTATGATCTGCTGACGCATTGCATACCGGCTACTACCATCCTCAAGGTTTGATTCCCCTCCCCCAGAAACACCATTCGCGGAAGTCTTCAGGCTAACGGGGGCCATGATAGACCTTAACCTTCCAGCTCGTCGGCAAAGTGGACGATGCTCTCAAGCCCGACGTAATCAAATGGTCGGCTTTCTACGAGCACAGAATCACCCAGGGCAGTGTAAGTTCTGATTCTATTGAAGAGATCCGCAATCAATCATGGTACTGACCCATCGCTCCGCAGAAATTGATCTTCCATCTCGAGGCATTTGTTGCCAAGTTTATGCGCATTTATGAAAGGTTTGTTTGACACAATAGACCAGGATGTTATTGGCTATCATTGCTAACTCGATGTGTAGTTACCTCATGGGCATGGAGTTTTAAAAGGGACTAGAGTAACAAACAATGGACGAGTAATGAATTAGTTGTACTATAACGGGTCGTTATTTCCATAAATCAGGCGTTCTGTGATAGAGTAAATGACCTTTTCCTCCTATTTTAGGCATAGCGGAAGCTTTATTCCGTTGTTCTGTGCAAGACATCATGTAGATCATCTACAAACTTCAAAATGCTCACCAGGTGGATGGGGTTTTGGGCAAGAGAAGAGATAGTAAGGGAGATGGGAGGGGAACCTGGGGATGACGCTCCATTGACTGAGATAACTAGCCTCACATAACCAGCTTGCTGCGGAGTAGACTGTCTAGGTATAAGCTGCAGCATTATCCATGACTGACATCGGGGTGCCCTGAATGGGAGTTGGTAGCCACTGGCAATCCATCGACAGCTGATCTTGATTGACTGGGTCGATTCACTTGACTACGTCATAGCTCGTATACATATTCGACCACCACCTCGCAGGCAAATCGCCCCATCTCCCAATCCCTCCTAATCTTCCATAAACACAGACAAGGATAATCACTAGGTCTATCAATCCCACGAGTCAACTTTTACTTTATTTGGAACATCGCGAAAACTACATCATGTCGAACCCTAACCTCATGGATATCGAGCCCGGTGGTGAAAACACTCAGTATGTTTCCGCTGGCTGCTCGGGTTTCGCGAATCAGAGGAAGTGAGGATTACCGTGTGCTAACCGGGATTGTAGGTATGAGTCGATTCGTTATTTCACAGAGACTCCGCCGAAGCAGACCGGTCAACTAGGTGGTAAGTTCGTGCTTTTTTTCACTTGGGACATGATTTACAAGAGCCACGGCTTATGGGACGGACTAGCCCACTGCGAGCACACAAGAAGTGAATACAACCCGATCCTCGGAGACGAGGATGAAGAAGGCAAGGAAAAGAATGGGGACACGCCACTGGCACGGCAGCTTGAGAAGGGAGAGGCTACGTCTGGTCTCTCGGGAATCGTGGATAAAGGTATAGTTTCACAATCTTTTTTTTCCCTTTCCCTTTCCCTTTCAATATGATATAAACTCCGCATATGAGAAAGACATCAACACCTTTTGCGAGATCAATCGCAATAAAGCAGAATGTGTGAATGGCTGATGGTAATGTACAACAAAAGATTCAAAGCCCGAAACCCCAGAGGAGGCTGCAGCGCTGGCGGCAAGGATCAGGAGAGAACAGGGATATGGGCCTGGCTCGGGTGTCGGGGCTTAGGTGCCGCGAGATAAGTGTAAATAAAACATGGGTAATGAACAGATTCTCCGAGAAATTCGAAACGGGCGGTTGATTTATTTAGTGAGAAGCGGATGGGCTGGAGGAGGTCGACTGCGGGGGCGTGGGGAGATTCTCCATCCCCAGGGCTGGGCTTCTGCGGGCACGCTTAAGGCTCTCCAGGGTCACTCCGTTGCCGAGTTTCGTCAGTCCGACCACCGGGGGCTCGCCCTTCTTCACAAACTCCCAGAGTCCTGTGTATAGTAGATGTATTAGTGTCGTGGGCCGTCAATGGCGATGTTTCTAGATGCCGTGAGGGGAGGGGGGGGCGCCTACCGGGCAGCTTGTGACCGGCCAGACGGAAAGCTTCTCTGGCAACCTTCTCGTGCAGGTCGCCCTTCAGCTCGAAGACGATTCTGCTCACAGCGACCTTCGCCGTCCAGTAGTCGAACTTTCCTTTACCCTTACCCATACGCTGCTCGTTACCCTTGGTGTAGACACCGATGTTCGCGCTGACTCGCTTGTATAGCGTATAGTTCATACCCCTCAGGCGTCTCTTGATGGTTTCTTCGGCGATCTTGAGAGAATGGGCGGGCAACCGACGGTCGTGATCCTTCATCCGCAAGCCATAGTCACCCCAGACAACAGTCGTACCGCGCGAGGAGCCACCGGTCGGGACATGCGGGCGACCCTTCGGAGACTTCGACACCTCGGCGTACTTGGGAGTGAGCCAATCCAGGGCAGGCGAGGTCGTCGAGAAGCATCGCGAGAGAGGAAGCGCTGTGCAAGGAGTCGTGAAGCCTAACGCATCGCATTGGTGTCAGTTTCCCTTCCTTGATGAGAGAATTTGATGGAGGTTCATGGCCAAACAGAAGAGGAAAATTCTAGGAGGCAGCGCAGAATCTTACATGAAGGCCGGAACAGGGCCATTTGAGACCCGGAGAACATCTTGAACTGAGGACCCATCGTGAATTGAAATGCAGCAAATGGCCCTCTCTCAATTACCGGATCTCAGCAATATTCAAAGGGTTCCCGGCAGACTTTCAGGTTATCGGCGTATCTGCAGGCCCGGGCCCGAATCCCCCCATTTCCCGAAAGGGAAGAAAGTGCTGCGCACGTGCCACACGCGCCTCTCTGTCTTAGGTAAGCCAATTAAGTCACGTCGGCGTAGCTGCAGGCAGGCGCGCGTCCGTGTCGGCCGGAATTGTATGTAGCTCCCAGCGATAAGTGGTGAAGGTTTTCCACCTGCTGGACGTTGTTGTTGTTGCCTGGAGCGTAGGTCCTCTCTGACTGTCAAATCTTGTTCCCAGGGAGCGCTACCTTACACGGTTGTGCACGCTCCAACAACTATCGTTCACCATGCCTTCTGATATCCGGAGCTTCTTTGGCGCGAAGTCGAGCCAAGGCTCAAACGCATCTCCTGCGAAGCCGGCTGCAAAGAAAGAGGTACGTCGATGATCGAGCTCGCACTCCAATGCCCTTTCTCACGATTATCGTTCCAACAACTTCTTGCTGACTTCAGTTGCGTTGCTAGGAGCCTGCTACTCGGAAGAAGCGTGAGATTCATACCAACCGTCCCGATCGTGCCTTGCTAACCTGGCTGTAGGCACTCGGAAGGTTGTTGATGATAGTGACGATGAAGAAGTAACTGAGGTGAAACCTTCAACCCCAAAGGCGAAAACAACAAGCAAGCCGTACGTGCTCCTTCAACTTTCTTAGCAGAACTTCATCAATTGACAGCTTCAAGGAAACCTGAAGAATCACAAGGAGAACCGACTTCTACCTCGGACTACTTTGCCTCGAGCAAGAAGCGAGGAAGACCAGTGAAGAGCAACAATGCGACCACAGCTAAGCCGTCGCAGCCAACCCCAGCCGAGCCTGTGCACGAGTCCCCGAAGCCTAAGACGCGTGCAGATACACAGACTACTCCTAAGAGAGCCACTCGTGTATCTACTAGGAAGACGACAACGGTAGTAGACGACGATGAGGGGCTGGGTGGCGATGACGTCTTTGCGACCGAATACAAGAAGAGAGGCAAAGGCGATGATGATTATGTTGAGGAGGATGAGCAGGATGGCAGCGACGATGATTTTGAAGAGCTTGCCGTGAAGCCTGCCAGCCCGGTAAAACGAGCCGGACAAAGCAAACAACCACCCCCTGCAGAGTCAGACGATGATGTGGTAATGGAAGATTTGCCAAAGCGCCCCTCTCGCGCAGCGCAATCGACAACCTCCCGCCCAGCTCGCAAACGGAAATCGGAAGCATTGGACAAGGAGGAAGACTCTGAATTCGAGGCCAGTCCTAAAAAGAGCGCAGTGAAAGCGAAAGCGACGTCGCATGCCGCCAAAAAGCCCCGAGCGTCTCCGACAAAGATCGATCGACCCGAGAGCAAGGAAATCCAGGATATCTTTGACAGCATCCCAATCGTCAAGGCTCCTTCCCCTCCGCCACAGTCGGGCGAAAAGACGAAATTCAATTTCGCCGCTCAGGCACAACGTTCAAGGTCTCCTGTGGGCGGAAGCGTGGAGCTGCCAGTCGGAGCAGAGAACTGTCTCGCTGGACTGTCGTTTGTCTTTACCGGGCTTCTGGACACGTTGGGCCGCGAGGAGGGTCAGACTTTGGTGAAGAAGTACGGTGGCAAGGTTACCGGTGCCCCCAGTTCGAAAACGAGCTACGTTGTTCTAGGAGCGGATGCTGGACCCAAGAAGCTCCAGACAATCCGACAACACAAGATCAAGACAATCAACGAAGAGGGACTATTCGAGCTCATTCGACGGCTTCCAGCAAATGGAGGAGATGGAAAGGCCGGGGAAAAATACGAAGCGAAGAAGAAAGCAGACGAGGCCAAAGTCAAGGCGATGGCAGCAGAAATTGACAAGGAAGAGAAGCGCAAGGAGATGGCCGCTCGCGCCTCGAATACTGTTCCGCCTTCAGCATCTCAAGCGTCCACCACAGCCTCTCAACCCGCTAAAGTCGCTGATGAACTGTGGACAACCAAATACGCGCCAACATCCATAAGCATGATTTGTGGCAACAAGACCCTAGTCGAGAGACTCCAGAATTGGCTACGAGACTGGCACAAGAACGCGAAATACAACTTCAAGAGACCTGGAAAAGACGGAAGCGGCCTCTACCGAGCCGTCATCATCCATGGGCCTCCTGGTATTGGAAAAACTACAGCGGCTCATCTGGTTGCGAAGCTGGAAAACTACGATGTCGTTGAGACTAACGCGAGTGACACGAGAAGCAAGAAACTCGTCGAGAACGGCCTTGTTGGGGTGTTAGACACAACCTCTCTACAAGGATACTTCGCAGGAGAGGGCAAGAAGGTGAACAGTGATAAAAAGAAATTGGTTCTAATCATGGACGAAGTTGATGGAATGTCTGCCGGAGATAGAGGTGGCGTCGGAGCTCTGGTGGCTGTCGCAAAGAAAACCCATATCCCCCTCATTCTCATCTCTAACGAGTGGAAAATTCCAAAGTTGAAGCCCTTCGAAGGCACTGTCTTTGAACTTGCTTTCCGACGCCCAAGTGCAGATCAAATGAGAGCCCGACTTTCAACAATCTGTTACCGCGAAAAACTGACAATACCGCCTCCGGTGCTGGACGGTCTGATCGAAGGAACCCATTCTGATATTCGCCAAATCATCAACATGCTCTCGACTGTGAAACTCGACCAGCAGAATTTGAATTATGAAAAAGGACGCGAAATGTCAAAAGCCTGGGAAAAGCATATTATTCTTAAACCATGGGATATTGTGAACAAGATCCTCGGACCCCAAATGTTCGCACACACCTCAAAAAGCACTCTTAACGACAAAATCGAATTGTACTTCAATGACCACGAATTCAGCTATTTGATGGTTCAGGAGAATTATCTCAAGACAAGGCAGACATTGGCCTCTGGGTACCAAGGTCGAGAGCAGAGGTTGAAGCAACTCGAGTTGATCGATAATGCAGCATCTAGTATCAGCGATGGCGACCTTGTGGATCGCATGATTCATGGGACCCAGCAGCAGTGGAGCTTAATGCCTACTCATGCTGCTTTTAGTTTTGTTCGACCTGCCAGCTTCGTGTATGGAGCCATGGGAGAACGTCCTACATTTGCTGGTTGGTTGGGACAAAACAGCAAGCAAGGTATGTTTTTCCCCCTTAAATCCCCTCAAAGCATGTCTAATATAGGTATACAGGAAAATTGTGGCGTTACGTCAAAGAAATTCAAGGCCATATGCGCCTACGTGCATCCGGCGACCGGGATGAGATTCGGCAACAGTACATGCCCTTGCTCTGGGATCGCTTGGTCCGCAGATTGAAGGATGAAGGTAAAGACGCTGTTGAGGAAGTAATCGACTTCATGGATAGTTATTTCCTTACCAGGGAAGACTGGGATGCCCTAGTAGAGCTGGGCCTTGGTCCGATGGATGCAGAGCATGCGAAGCTGGAAACGCAGACGAAGGCCTCATTTACGCGGGTCTATAATCAACGCTCACACCCCTTGCCGTTCATCAAGGCGAGCAGTGTGACGGCTCCCAAGAAGATGGCGAAGGAGAAACCCGATATTGAAGACGCCGTGGAGGAATCGGATGAAGAAGAGGTTGTTGAAGAGTCAAAGGACGATGAAGCTGAGGAGCTTGACCTGAAGAAAGACAAATACGTCCGAGTGCCCAAGAAGTCAGCCACCAAGGGCGGTGCCAGCAAGGGGAAGAAGACAAAAAAGACAGCGGACGAAGATGATGTTGATGACGAGGAGAAGCCGAAGAAGGCGAGAGGTCGGAAGCCCAAAGCGAAGTCTGGGTGATGTTAACACGAGGTGAAATCTTTTATGTATGATACTCTGAGCGAGCCCTTGATGTGAGGCAGGATCTGGCCGGACGTTGCAGGCCTAGTTTTCGTAATAAGTAGCGTGGAAGATGAATGGATTACTTCACGGTCCTGCTATTGTTTGTCAATATGTGATTTTATTTAGTGACTCTAGTTGTAGTAGTCACTGAGATGAGACAATGTCTAACCTATGCATAGTGTGTGATGAATTGTATAGATTGACGCGACTTTCTTTCCCTGGACGCTAAGCCTCTTTTGGTCTAACAATGGCGGCGGTGCGGAGATCCGACGACTGCACGGGATCTCCCCCTCCCGTGTGTGTAACTACGCTCGGGTGAGATTGATTGCCTCCTCCACAAACCCACCGTGCGGTCTCACTGCCTTGGTTA